ACACACACACACACACACACACACACACACACACACACACACACACACACACACACACACACACACAAACACACACACACACACACACACAAGAAAAGAAATAGCAGAAACAAAAGTATCTGTTGCTCACCTTAGGCAGACAGTATTTTGGTAATTGCATCTGCTTGAAAGGTTCTCTCATATACGAGACAAAGTAAGTGGCTCGTCCTGACTTGGTTACCTTTAATAAAAAAGTAAAGGAAAAAATTATTCTGTTAGCAGAACACGAARGAGCATTGCTTTAATTAAACAATTTAAGAAACAAGAGAAAAAGTTCCTGTATTGTAACAAATTCATTTCAGTTTGATCATTGATACAGGATGTTGTTTTGTTAGCAGGAAAAATTAGTAAGTCAAACAAGTTTTTTTTAATCAGTAAAAAAAAAAAGAAACAGTATTGCGCAAAAGTTAGAGAAGTAAAGTTAGGGCTAATTAAAATATGCTGTTTCAAGCTGTTTAGTTCAGTTTACAAAGTGCTGTAAACAAAAACAACCAATAAAACGAGACATTGGTGTAGCTACACACTGTACTTAAACAGCTCCGGTTCTTCCAAGAAAATGTGTCCACTAATGCTTTTTAAATTTCCATCCAGAGAGCAGAGAACTAACTTCTTTACCAAACCAGTCTGATTGGARTCCACAGAGTCAAGCAACCTGACTGGCTTAGATTTCCTTAAAGAAGACATATCATGCTTTTAAATCCTTCTTTTTCACATTTCWTTCATTCAGTTGGAGTCCATATAAAGTGGAACTTCAATGCTTTGGTCTGGATTCATTTTTATTGTAACTCCACAACCCCCTCTTTCACCCCTTTTCTGAGATTTGTCTCAGACCAACTCATCTTGAGGCTGTCGCTTTAAATGCTAGCGAGGTGCTTCACACTCCCCTCCAGCTTCCAGAGCGGTTCATTCTAGCTTGATAGAGGGGTTTACAACTATAGAAACTTATTTTTATTTACAAATGAATTAAAAGATGTTAAAACCAGAAGACTTGTCCATCCAGCCTAAAATGTTGGAGCCAGAGTCTGCAGAGCCAGCAGAGAATGAAGATGATCGAATTGTAATTGGTAAGTCCAGACATTATATGTCTGTTCCATCGCAAATAATTTGATGTGATAGTTCAGAAAATGGAATAGAAAATAGAGAAAATTTGAAAAAAGAAAAGTTGAAAAAAGTGACCAAAAACTTATATCACTGTTGTCCGTTGTGTAGTGCTCAGAATATGCCCTGCGAATGACTCTCAACTACCAAGCATAAAAATAGCATAATTTCTAAAAAAAAATGGCTGAGTTACAGTGATGTTTGAGTTTGCTRTAAGGCTACTAAGCTGTGGCAGCCATCTTAAATGGGTTGACTCCAAAGGTTAATCAGTTGTAGACRGRCATTCAGTGATTATTCCCCAAGAGGTTCATTAAAGGCTGTCACCTTGGTTATTAGATGTTTTGATCATTTGACAAACAAACACTGACAAAAGTAAAATCATAGCTGCCTTTTCACAAATTCTAAAACCCTGCTTGTATGTTTTGAGCTGCCTTCATGCTGCTACATTTAGGACTGATAATATGCCTTTATAATTGTATGACAACATGGATAATAGTCTGAAAATGTTCATGTGCCAAAACTTTTCATACAGTAATAAATGAAAATTATTTATTAAGCAGGATGTCAATCAGTTGTGAAATGAAACATCCCCTGGAAGACGCAAATGACTTCACAATGCTTGGCTGACTTGATAAAACAGTTGCAGCTGTACTCTGCTTCCCACCGTGTTGAAGGCCAAATGAAATTACAAGAACAACAGAAATTTATATTATTACCTCAATTAGTCTAAAATCGAGTCATTGAAAATTATGCTGGCTTTATCTATCGTGCATCTCAAAGATCTTAATGCACTACCCACTAACCCATCCACTTACAGGCAGGACAACGGTACTTGATTGCTTATTTTCTAATCAACTAGAAAGATGGTGTTTGTCCCTGAACACACTACATTAGGGCTCTAATGGAATAATCTATCGAAAATCAATGAGCTGCATTTTCCCAGGCCACATTTTTGAGGATGTTGCACTTGGCTGTTCCTTCTCTCCCTGGAGACTTTGGGGGTGTTGAAGACTGCTTATTTCGTTGTAGCCCAATCGATAACCTCATTACTCTTTGTCAAGTTAAATCCAACTGCCCCGAGCAATGAAAGTCACAAGAAAGTCATCTGTGCCACCACAGCTCAGTGCAGACACTCTCTCTGTGATGGTCCAGTTATATTCACCGGCATCTTCCTCATGTCTCCCTCTGCCCTGACGGTAAATCTCATCTCAGCTAAACGCAATTTGAACTTCTGCTGGTTCGCTATTTCTGCTTGAGCATTTTTTGTAACCATCGAATTTAATTCCTAAATTGTAACTTTTTTTCCAATTAATACTGTGAGTTGATTTTGCAGAAAAGGAAACAGTGCTAAAAAATACTGAAGCCACTAACCATACCAAAAATACAAAAAAATGGTATAAATAAATAAAAAAATAATAAAGCCCTAGCATTGCTTGAAATTAATGCATATGCCCGCCACCTTGAATTCCAAAATGTTCACTTTATAATGAAAGCTCCTGCAAGATTTGTTAAGTGTGCCGAGTATGTAATGAGAATAAGTYGCAGCTGCCACAATATTCAATTTTATTACAAGAGTGGCAAAACTGACTGAGTTATAGCTATTTATGTGCTTAAAATGGTCAGTTAGCTGTAATGGTCATCATGCATCGGGTCGACGCCAAAAGTTAATCAGCTGTAGATGTGCACCAGTGATGGCATTAAGAAATTTTTTTAGAATCTTTCTATTGGTTCACAGTTGGCAGCACAACGGCTCAGGGGTCCTGCAGTTCCCAGTTTGGACCTGGAGTCCTTCAGTGTGGAGTTTGCATGTTCRTCTTGTGCTTGAATGGGTTTTCACCGGGTACTCCGGATTTCTCTCACAGACCAAAAATGTGTACGTTAACTTCATGGCCTGGTCTCCCATGAAAAAGAGAGCTCAATGGGATTTGTTGGGTTAAATGACGTGAGGTTACTAATGAGATATTTTGCTAACAGACAAAAATACACACAGACTTGGGCTTATACATTATTGGCCTTGTATGATTGGTTAGGGRTGAAAAGGTGCAGCCTGTAAAAACTACTTTAATTAGATTTTCGCTTCCCTAAAACTTAGATGGGGTCCAACAAGAGTGACCAAAAAGATTAGGTCCAACTAAYAAATAGAAAATTACTCACTGCTGGGCAAAAATCAATGACAGTAGAGGACATTGAGAAAATTAAATTTCTRATAATGACCCTGACTGCGACTGTCTAATTGGAGTCAAAGACAGAGTGAAYGATACTGAAGACATCGACCTATCCATTCATTGGTTCTTTTGCCATGCATGTACTTGTGGTGAACAAACACATTTACCAGGTRTGGATTATGTTGGTGCAGAAAGTCATTCACTAAGCATGCCTTGACATGAACAGATGAAACTTAATCAAAACACACACCAGGCCAGTGGGGAACAGGTGCATTGGGAAAAGCCATTATGTGGGTTTTGATGGAAGAGAATAAATGGGTTGCACAAGAGAGCAAAATAAAAACAAACAAAAGAAATATGTAAAAAGAGGAGAAAATCAAAGTTAACAGATAAAATAACTTGCAAATAAAAAAAAACATAAGGGCAAATGGTTTACTTTGATGAAGAAATGAAAATGGTGATTATACAAACCTGTGTAAAAACATATTCATCCTGTACAACGAGGGAGTTGGTGTCTACATGTCCAGGAAAGAGGTACTGTCTGTTGCCCTCTGTGCATCTTTGGGCTCTGCACTTTACATACTGAGCACCTGAAAGATGAAARAAAAGTGTGAGAGTAAAATAAAACTGTTTATATTCGAACAATGGATCTTCTCATTATTTAAATCAACTTAAAACTTACTGCCTTGGTACTGATTTAAWGCATGTAGAAAAGTCTAACCTTCAATACTAATTGCCACTTTTCAAAACTCAGTTGCACTTTGTGACTAACAGAGTTTAGGGGAAAATATTGACTTCAATGTACAAAAATGTTTTCTAAAATGTATGCTGCAAGTTTCAGTTTTATGTGTTTTCATCTACATTGAAAAACAAAGAAATTAACAAAAAAATACTACAACTAAAAGTTGTAAATCAGTAAATGAATTTTACAAACATTTAAGTTTATTATGTTTATTTATTAAGTATCTAAAATAGTAAAACTAATCTTAATGCACATGAACAGGAAAGTCTCAATACGCAATACAGTGTATGCCATTAAAAAGAACGTAAATGTCACTGTAAATATTATTGCTGGTGTTAAAGTGATTTATGCAAAATTAACTGTTTTGAGCTTCATATCATGTTATGTCATTTTCTCATCAAAAACATCCCCAGAGTGTTGCTTTGACTCATTCATGCATACTTAAGAAATCCTTGAATCTCCTGTGGTAGCCATGTGGAGCTAAATGCTTGCTGGTATACAGTAAAAGCACCACCTAGTTACAGAAATCCCCTCCCTGGAGCTCAGTCTGCAGCAGAACCCTGGCCCCACAGGGCACCCCTCCCTAAACCATTTTTGAAAAAGTGCTGAAGTGGGAGTGTCTCAAATGGTAGGAGAATCCCACAGAAAAGATGCCAGTTTCAAAGAGTTTAGATAGGTTATGAGACGAAACCAAATTCATTTTTAATATATACAGCATTTTCATTACAACTGAAGGTATCATAGTTGCTTGATTGTGGTATAGAATTAAGCTATGTGCCTCGAAAATACAGTAGATATTACCC